CCTGTGCAGCCTGCTGTAGGTGACCCTGCTTCGGCAGGAGGGTTGGACTAGATGACCCACAGAGGTCCCTTCCAACCCCGACCATTCTGTGATTCTGTGATTCTGTGATTCTGTGATTCTGTGACCCCGGCTGAGGCTGGACGTTCTCCCCCGTTCCCGTGGCAAAGGGAACGCCAGAGGCACAACCACAATCCAGGAACTGTTAAGAAAGCAAAAGCTGGGAGAGAAGCAGCTGGGTTATTGCCTGCTGTGTTATATTTACATTAAAACAAAAGTTTAAAGCAGAGAAAACATGAATGACTATTTTTATGAAATTACAAGTCCTTGGAGATATATATACTTTTTTCCTTTTTTTCCAAATTGCTGTTGGGAACTGGGTTAGTACACATCAAAAATCCTTCCCAGAATTCAGTATACAATATTTTTGGTGCATTCTATATATGCAGGGAAGTACTGACATTGCAGAGCATGACAGTGTCATAGACTCATAGAACCATAGGATGAGTTGGGCTGGAAGGACCTTTAGAGGCCATCTAGTCCAACCCCCCCTGCAGTGAGCAGGGACATCGTCAGCTGGATCAGGTTGCTCAGAGCCCCATAAATCTCATAATTTAGTAGTAATTTTTAACCTGAGACACGGGATAATTTTGCATTTTCTATAATTTTCTTGGTATTGGAAACAAAGCAGAAGTTTTGCTGGAAGTCTCTCCTCTGCCCAGGCAGGTGCCCCTGTGCAGGCTGGCGCTTTGCATCCTTCGCTGCTCCTCAAAGCAATAGTAACTCATATTTTCCTAGAAGTTGTTTCAAGCTGGCCAAAGCGGAGCAGGACGAGGGCCACAAGGTGATCAGTAACAGCTGGTTTGTTTGTGGAAGGGGTTTTTTTGTAATTTATTCCTACGAACAACATGGAAGAGAAAAAAATTCACTCTCACGCAATTTCTTATATCCCATAAATTATTTCAATTAAATTTCATAAATAATTTTCAATTTCCGTTTTATGAATGTTCACTTCAATTCACAATAATTTTCCAGTTTCAGTCTGAGCTTTCTCCTTTACACAGCCAGTGCTTCCTTGGGCTCTTTCCCGTGACAGGCGTGGTGCTTTGTGCTTATTAATGAGTGCCGTCTTGCTAAGCGATGCACTGATATAATTGATGTTCTGAACCTTGCACTCTTCCAAACATGAATCCGTGACCAGAGAGGCAAACACAACTCACTGCAGTGACGGACACGAACGTCACACTGCTGCCGAGTTCTCACTGCCCAGTTCCCATTCTTGTCTTTGCTCCAGAAGTCGCGAAGTGATTCACAGTCGATTAAAGCTCGTGTGCCTGGGCAAACACTTCCAGCAAGTCTCTTTAACCTTTAGGTCTATAATTTCCAGCATCTGGAGTCATGACTGCTATGATATATTGTTTTAAGATAAAAATTAGATTTAACACTTTTTTTGGTTTGTTATGTGGTGAATGCCTGGGGAGGAATCTAAAACAATTAATGTGCTCCCCACCCAGAGCACCCTGCTCTAAAGACACAGAAAGACAAACGTTGAGCCAGGTAGCAGTTTTCATCCGAAAGATATCAAAGTGCTGACTGCAAGGCAGGAATCATGGTAGGGAAAAGCTGGGAGGCGCTGGGATTTAGAAAACTCAACAATTTCTGTGTATGCGGTGACTCCATGTCAAGTGGAGATAAATTAGCTTTGAATCACACAATTGTTCCTGCTCTCTAAAAGAATTAATGTTTTCAGTTCCAATGCACAAAGGAGTTACACAAATATTTCAGTTTGCTCTTCATACTGTTTTACATCACATAGACCGCTATCTGTTTTCATACGTCCTCACGCTGACTGTCCTTGATTTGGTGTAACCAGGCAAGCAGTGAGCATCTGATTTCTTGGGTTTGGGTCCTTTGAGAAAGGAGAGTTATTATTTCATTTTTAATTATAGTGCCCAGTGGTGCCCAGTGACAGGACAAGGGGCAATGGGCACAAACTGAGGCACAGGAAGTTCCATCTGAACATGAGGAAGAACTTCTTCCCTCTGAGGGTGATGGAGCCCTGGCCCAGGCTGCCCAGGGAGGCTGTGGAGTCTCCTTCTCTGGAGATATTCAAGACCCGCCTGGACAAGGTCCTGTGCAGCCTGCTGTAGGTGACCCTGCTTCGGCAGGAGGGTTGGACTAGATGACCCACAGAGGTCCCTTCCAACCCCTACTATTCTGTGATTCTGTGATTCTGTAATTAACACCATGAAATGTTTATTAGGGCACAACACGTAAGCACTGAGCGGTGTGGTGACCAAGCCTGAAAGGGCTTTCTCCCTGGAGGTAGCATGTGGGATGGCCCAGCCATTCTGCACCCACATCCACCCATCCTGCACCCACCTCCACCCATTAGAGGCAATCGACCACCAGTTCCTTCCGAGACACGTCTGGCTTTGGCAGCCCTCGGGGTGCAGGGGGTCCCCGGCTCTGAGGGTTACCATGCTCCACATCCAGCTGGTTGATGGGTAGCAACAAGGTTCCCTGTGATGGGGGGGCTGATGCTGGGGCCACCAGCAGCAGGAGGGATCAGCTGCTCCAGGGCTGGGCTGCTTGTCCCTCCAGCTTGCCCCCACTGCTGGCTTTGCTCCTGGTTGCTGTCGGGGGATCAGGTCCCTTCCCAGGTGCAGACCATCAGCCCTAACGGGTGCTGAAACCCTTAAGGGAAGGTTTTGCCCGAGTACCAGGCTTTTTGCTCCGTGGAGCCCATCAGGTGTGGAGCTGCATTAGCAAATTCCTCTCGGGGATGCGGGGGCTGCCGAGCTCGGCTGTGGGGCAGGGTCAGGAGATGGCCTTTGGCCATCCCTGGGAGCTCAGGAGGGGTTTGCAGCCCGGCTTGGAGCTGGGGTTTCTGAGTAAAGGCTGCTCAGCTCCCTTCCGAGGTGCGATACCTGCAGCTCCAAGCAGAGCTCTCCAGCTGCCGTGCAGGCGTCGGTAAAGTTTGGAGTGTTTTGTGCTCAGCTTCCAGTAATTTCGTTTCTTATCTCTATCTCATTTCACCAGCCCTGGGAGCTCAGGAGGGGTTTGCAGCCCGGCTTGGAGCTGGGGTTTCTGAGTAAAGGCTGCTCAGCTCCCTTCCGAGGTGCGATACCTGCAGCTCCAAGCAGAGCTCTCCAGCTGCCGTGCAGGCGTCGGTAAAGTTTGGAGTGTTTTGTGCTCAGCTTCCAGTAATTTCGTTTCTTATCTCTATCTCATTTCAGCAAAGCCCTTTGAGAACGGGCAGTACCTGGACATCTATGGAATTACAAGAGACCAGGCTGGGGAATATGAATGCAGCGCAGAAAATGACGTCTCCGTCCCAGACGTGAGAAAAGTAAAAGTCACAGTAAACTGTAAGTCGTGTTGTTTCTTAATTGCTAAATCCAGTGGAGAAGAGGGATGCGGCTGAGAAGTCTGAAGCAGCGAGCTGCTGCTTGTGGTGGAAGTGTAGGGTGCTTGGTTTTGTGTCACGGTAGCGAAATGACCTGTGCTGTGTGATGATGGGAGGAGAGGAAACGGCCTCAAGTTGCATCAGGAGAGGTTTGGATTGGATATTGGGAGGAGTTTCTTTCCTGGGGGAGCGGTCGGGCATTGGACCAGGCTGCCCAGGGCAGTGGTGCAGTCCCCATCCCTGGAGGTGTTCAAAAAACATGTAAATATGGCACTTGGGGACATGATTTTGTTGGCATGGTGGTGTTGGGTTGACGGTTGGACTTGATGATCTTGGAGGTCTTTTCCAACCTTGATGATTCTGTGATTCTATGTGCGAGCGAGTCTCACCGATGGACGGTAAAATGAGATTACGGTTCAAATCCCCCTTTTGTCTGCTGGGGATGGTAGCGCTGTCACAGGCTTTACAGCAGGTCCTCTCGCTGGGCTGTGGGGCCGAGACCGGGCTTTCGGAGTGACCGTTTGAGTAACGATCTGAGTAACTCCCGAGGACTGCTGCAGCCGTTGGGCTGAAGCGTTTCTGATCTGGTCTGTCATGGTTGTGCAGTGATACAAGGAGGTGAGAAACCTTGTGGAACTCTGTGTTGGGAGATCAGCTGGCGATCGGGCTCTGTGGAAATCCGGAGCGCTCCCGGCAGAGGCAGCCGGTTGTCCTGAGCGGTTGCCCCGGCGCGGGGGCAGGAGGGGTCTACAGCAGCCGTCTCGGTGGCGGTGGGTCGCACTGGGACCCCATGAGGCAGCTTGGGACCTGTCGCTGGCGCCCGCCGGCCC